AGATCTGTACAAACATGTTCTGAGAGGTGATTCTTGTGTTAGTTTGTCAGTTCATATTAATCTTTTTGTTAAATCTTCTGGAAAAATGAAAAAAACATTGAACAGAATATTACTAAAGGAAATCACAAGGCTTGTCAGAAAATTCACAATTAGATATTTGGTTCTTCTTAAATCACTGTATAGTAGTAGTATTAGCAGTATAGTTATATCAGAGTGAATGTATTATCAGACGTGTGCTCATGATTTTTATCAGATCAACAAACTCTGTTTAGACTGCAGTTTGAGGACAGGCTGCTGCACATGAATCAATAAAGCCTGAATGTACAAGTAACTGAGGCAGGCTTGTCACTACAAAGAGCAGTGGAGCAGGGTCTGATTCTGGCTGGGTGTTAAGTAATGGTGAAAGACTGAGTCTACTGCTGCCCTGTGCTTTTAGTAAAAATGCCAAACATAATGGCAAATAGAACATAGCATTTTTTTCCTCCCAAATTAACTATATGTTCTATATAGGGCTTGGCGATATGGTGATAAAAATCTTATCATTATCTGATTCTTATAACAGTATGCTGGAGAAATTGTCATATCTCAGATTCAAGTCTATGCTCGAAATACACACTTTCCAATCCACTATCCCAATAAACCGGCTTCCTTTAAGGTTCCATTGAGTGAAAGGTTAATTTACAATTACTGAGAAGTATGAGAAAATTGCTTTAGTTGCCTTCTGTAACCATTATAAAAGTGTACAGAAATTGTGATTAAAGTGTGAAATAACTTTTTTGATATTGCACATCCCTACATCTACAGTGTAATGGTTTGTTGTTTTATGTGTTTTCCTATGAAATTGCAATACATTTAAGTAAAAAATTGGACCCTGTTTGTTGACTGCACAATAGTAGACAATATAGATACATTTACTTTCTGCATCTGTTTCTTGTGTTTATTTGAAAAGCATACTTTAATTGTGCTTTTGGAATAAACAAAAGCGAGCTGTAATTTCATGAGCTTGACAACTTTAAGACCACTATCAATTGTGCTGAGACTGTGTGAGGGCTAGACTGGTTATCTGCCTCTTCACCTCTTCTCCTCTGCCTGCACTCGAGTATAAAATTCCTTTATGGGGGCTATCAATATCTCACCAGTCGCCTCTAACTATAGAGCATTTATAGTGGGGATGCAACAATACAGTTTTCCCATGATTCGATACATATCTCAATATATGGGTCACAATATCGGTTCGATTTCGATAAGCAGAAAATGCAGGAAAAAACTCTTATGTAATTTTTTTCTGCTGATGAGCATAATATAAACACTTAAACACTATGATATTAATGAAGCATAACATTTAAATAAACTACAGCACAACTACTAATTCTATATGTGAAGTGTTTTACTTCATTTAGTTCAATGATTTACAGCTCAGAATTTTTATTCAGTGAAAATAAGAATTGTGCTTTCTATAGAGAACAGTTTTTATAACATACTCTTAACATAGACTGCTCAGGGAAATGCATAGTCAGACTTGCATATTGAGGGAACATGTATAGCGAATCATAACACCCGTATTGAACTTATACAATATTATATCAAATATTGTTGCATCACTAATAAATATGTCTCCTAAACCTCCTCTTTTACATGCTGCTGGTGAGGAGACCAGATAAATCACATAACTATCATGAATTAAACATTTTACATGTTTTAATATGGAGATTTCACCATTCATTTGTATATGATGGTGTATTTGTATTGACATAACTTAGGGCAGCATCGGCTAGCCAAGTGATCAAGTTATAGCAACCATGTATACCATATAAATATCATGAAATAAATGTTATATATTTAATGGTAGCAACGGGCACAAATATTTAATGTTTAAACTATGGTGCTTGTTATTTTTAATTTTATTGTTTTATGAGGATTCACGTGGTTCGGTAGGACGTAGTCAAGGCAGGGGCCATTCGTTGTCCAAGCAGCCGCCTTAACTATAAAGTGCTGCGGGAAACACTTCTGGTGACACAAAGCAAGTTCAGTTCTACTTCATTTTTGCTCTGTCTTTCCAAGAAGAAACACATGCCCACAAACTCTCCAATTTACTGAACAAACTCAACAGATCTCCACTACAGTCTATATAGTGAAGGAAACAGACATGTACAAGAATGATCTAACCCAGATGTACGAGCTTGCAAAGAAGCACAAACTGAGAATCATCTTTCATAAGTACCCAGTGGACATCCAGACTAGGACCTTTTTCATGACAGTACAGGTGTGCCACCTCAATGCCTGGGGTCATGACCACAACAAAAAGGAAGCTAAAGCTAAGCTATGTATGTCTTGCTGCTCATAAAGAACCTGCCTCTGCCTCAAAACCATCAGGCTAAAGCTCAGAAAAAGAAAGCCAACAGCACTGCACTGCTGGAGTAAACACCCTGTCCCAAGGATGAACATGGACGGGTTATCCTGTTCAAAAAATCCTGCTCCTGCCTTTCAGAGCTGGTGCAGGCACACAGGATCAAATACCCTGAGTACAGCCTGGTGGAGTCAAAGCTATTGCCTTGGAGCTGGCTGTTCACTATGCGGGTCACTCTACGAAACCTCTGCACTGTCGAGACAGGGCCCACCAAGATTGTAGCAAAGAAGAATGCTGCCGCCAAAATGCTGGAGCTGTTGGGGGGTGGCATCTCCTCAATACAACCCGCTTTTGAAACAGCAGCATGCTTGTCCATCTCAGGTTAACAAGCACAACATGGAGGTTGAAGAGATGAAAGCTGTTGGAGCTCTGCCTGCTCTGAGTGCAGTTGGGGTGATACGGGATGTAACTGTCCCCAAAACTCATCTAGCCAAGGATCAATTAAATGATCCAACAAATCCTCTGAGTCCCAGGATGTCCAAAACTGCCAATCGAACCAAAAGGACTCAATGCTGCTGGCTTCAGAAGTGCTGTTTTCGCTGACTATCCCAGAGTCAAATTCTGAATCAGCCCAGGAAAAGGGAAAGGACGAGAAGGACGACAATGATGCTCATGTCAAATGAGACTTGCATGGAGTCAGAGAAGATGGCTGAGGTGACCCAGGATGAGAACACTCCTACCTGGGTGCTCAACATAACAAAGAATCAGAGTCTGTGTCAGAAACACAGGTGATGATGAAGACAGAAATCTCTGAAGCAGAAATTATCTTGGATTCTTTTAGATTAAATGACTTCACTGAAACTGGGGTATTTAGTCCAAAGGAGACCCCTTGTGAAGTGGAGATTGGACAAGTGGAAATCCTGGTTCAAAATGAGACTAAAGAGATGCAGGTCATCTCATATCTCCAGGTGGACCACACTGGTATAGTAAAGACAGTGGGCCTGTGAGATATCCAGGTGGAGGTAGAAGAACTAGAGATCTCTATCTATCAGACCAGAGGTCCTGATCCAGAATCTAGATACCCAAGTCCAGATTCCACAGATTGAGGACCAAAGCCTGGAGACTGCATTGCAAATAGAGAGCATAATCAAACTCAAAATTTGTGAAGAAGATATTATCCTGGACACTTTTGGACCAAATTTAGATTACCTCATTGAACCTCAAGTCTTTAATCTAAAGACTCTTTGTGAAGCAGAGAGTGGAGCAGAGGAAATGCTGGTCCAGATTCCTGAGACCCAATTCCTGATTTCAGAGATGAAGGTCCAGATTCGAGAGATGATGGACTGGATTCCAGAGATTGAAGTCCCAATTCAGGAGACATATTTCCAGATTTTAGAAACTGGTTGGGATTTCAGAAACTGATGTCTACATCCCACAGATCCAAGTCCAGATAGTTGAGACTGAGGTCTTGATTCTAAAGATCGAGGACCAGAAGAGACTCTGTGTCACAAATGGAGGCCACAATCAAGCTTGAAAATTTTGAAGCAGATATTATCCTGGAGACTTTTGGACCAAATGTAGATGACCTCATTGAACCTGAGGTCTTCAGTCAAATTTTTTTCTGAAATTCTGGTCCACATTGCAGAGACCGAAGACCGGGTTCCCGAGACCGAAGACCGGGTTCCCGAGACCGAAGACCGGGTTCCGGAGACCGAAGACCGGGTTCCGGAGACCGAAGACCGGGCTCCTGAGACTGAAGTCCAGGTTCTAGAGACTGTTCTGGATAAGGTGACCAGTCAAGACAAAATCACCACTGCATCTGAAATCTCAAGTTTTGCCAATCAGTGCTCCACTGTTGGCACTACTGCTGTGCCCACCCAGTAAGCAAAGACCCACGGAAGAAGAAAAATAGATTGAGACGATTCTTCAGTGTGGTCAGATTCTTTAGGAAGTCTAGTCGATAGGCTATTTCATGTTCTTTTAAAGGAGATTTTAGCAAGAAAAAAACAACAACTTTTGAGCAGTTTGTATGGAAGAATATAAATGGATGATTAGATTAATGTGCATGTTTTTTGTTGTTATACATACATATAGAAATGCCTTGATATCTTAGGGTAAAGCAAATTAAATAGTCTACAGATTGATATTGTACACACACTAATGAGGCAAATACCATAGCTGCATTACATGTGCTAGCTAGAAAATTACAGACAACATTCAAAGTAAATGCAAACCTTACACATATATTTTATGAAGCGATTGCAGATTTTCCCCCTATAGCCAATTTTCTGGTGCTCATTGTGCACAGAAGACATGCCTTGCAAATCTCAGGGAAAACATTTCATTATTGATATCTGGGTTTTATGTGTTTGCCTATATACCGTACCTATATAACTTTTTGGGCGCAGTGGACCACAATATGGGCATCATTGATTCCCTATAAATCTGCATCCACATACTGTACTGGAATATATAACTGCATTTATTCACAGAAGGCTAATATAAGTTGGTTACCCTTTATCACACTTCTATGATAGAAGATATATGTGAGCTGTGGTCCACTGTGAAAAACTGATAGAGCATTTCTGCATATTTTACCAGAGCTTGTACAGATGGACTTTCTCACTCATTTGACCTCTTTTTAATCTTGCAGGTCTTTCAGCCGCTGTCCAGAAGTTCTCCCAGTCCCTGCTGGAGTTTCAGTTTGAGTGCATAGGTGACGCCGAGACTGACGATGAGGTGAACATTGGTAAGTTCAATCTATCCCTGGAGTCTAATTTAAATTCAATGAGTCCTCCTATTTATTCAAGCCTCAAACTATACCTGACCTTTCAGTGAAGACAAGTTATAGAAATATCTGCTGTCATGATTATCCTACTCATACAGAATAAAAAATTAGATACAAAAAATAAAAAAACAAAAAAAACAATACAGCAAACACTTATTACAGGATTGTCAGGATGCTAGCAAATCCATGCAATGTTTATTTTTTCCCTGCATGGATCTTGGAAGTTGTCTACGGTGCATGTATAATTAATGCTATTGATTTGCTTATGATGTTTCCCCTGTTTCTTCTAAAGCCTATTGCCGATCAAAGGGACTAATTGTGATCAGTGTCAGAGATTAATGGAGGTGCCGTATCCACCATAAGGAGTATGAAAGCAGCGGCGCAGAGGGCCCTACACCACTAATGGGCCCCTCTCACAGTCTGCCTGCTTCCTCCTCTCCCTGCTTTTTCTGCTGTGCTCATTATCTCCAGCTTGAGCCCTGAGCTTCGTGGAGCTAGGGCCTGCCGAATTACTGTCCATCTGTGAGGGCTAGACTGGATATCGACCCCTCCGACACGGGACCGTAATGTTCATCTGAATGCCTAATGAAGAGTGCCTTTTCCTCTTCTTCTCTCTCAAAGCAGCCGCTGTAGCATGATGGGCAGGAGAGCAGAAAAGCAATTATGCATATTGGACAAATCCACACCCATATCCAGGGATAGTTAGAGTCAAACATGTGCTTGTTTGAGGAAATGTCTATTACGCCTGCTTTTCCATTCACACTCATGTTGGTCCTATGTGTAGCAAATAATAGGCATTTTGTCTGACCAGCTGGTGTAGTGGGATGAGTCCAATGTTTACTAAGAGCGACCAGGACACTGCAGAGGGCTCAGATGATGATACAGTGTCTATTATAGATAACTGGCTTTAGAGTTGAGGAGAAAAAGATATTTTACACCATAAAGTGAAGCTGTAAAAAATCTGTAGACCTCAAAGCTGTATTTGGTTGGGCTGTGAGATTATTCACAATCAAATCAAAATCACAGTTTGAATGGACACAATTAGTAAATAAATGCTACAGTTCTGAAATACCGGTGGATCCCTTAAGAAAATATCCTGTCTTACTGCTTGTGAAAACTGCTAACCCTGTAGTTTAGATCTGTACACAGATACTGAAATACATGTGATTCTTGTATTAGTTTGTCCATTCATATTTCAGTTTTTTTGTCAATTCACCTGGAAATGTTTAAATGTGTACTTAAAGTAATAAAGTTGCAATCTTATCATGATTGCAATGTTTGTCAGACAAAGAAAGACATTTTTTAAATTGTTCAGCTCTAGCTTTTGGTATGATTTTAAGGATCAGTGAAGTTACAGTAAGCCAATGTATTATGCATGGTAAGCTGTATACACTGAGGACATAAACAAGCTAAGAAACAAACATTAAGTAAATGCAAGATGAAATACTGAATATCATTACAGGATTTTAGTGCGAAAAAGGGGAGCAGTGGTCTATTTTAATAAAATCAGGAGAAGTAGATTAGTTTGTGAGTTTGAAATAATAGTTTACAGATTTTGACATTACACCAGGCGGGACGGCAGGGGGAAAATACTGTAATGTCTTTTTAATGGCTTTATTGTGGTTCTCTTGTTTAGCTCATACTCCGTCAACCAAATTTGGCTCATAATAAATGTTTCCTATTTCCCGTTTGTTGAAATTCCCTGTGCTTCTCCATTGTGCTTGGCTGCCCAGGCTAACGCAAAGGCCATGATCACACCTTGGAAAATATGAAATGTGTTGAAATCAATCACCTCATCAATGTCCCCGCGCTGTCCCACTGACACAGCTACACCTCTGTGAATGCCAGAGCTGAGAGTCTGAGCCAGGATCTGTGTGCTCGCTTTGATGCCAGCTAACTTCCATGAACAACATGGAAGATTATATGTGCCCGCGCCTGCTCACCTGACCTTTTATTGATTTTACTCTACTACTTCCTGCAGTGACATTCTCATTCTATGCCAGTTATCTAGGAATCAATGGGGGCAAAAGATTGATGTGGCCTCAGAAATTTGAATTTTCAGAAAAGTTACATGCTCCTCTCACAGAAGGTCAAGTCAGAGTCTCCAAGGGACATCACTGGACTGAGACAAGTCTGATAAGCTCAAAAATACAAGTCAAAGATGCAGCTCAAAGAATAGAGCCTGTAAGCTCAGAGCTAAGGTATTTCTGTATGGGCTACCTGTCATAGATGAAAAAAGAAGAAAATTACAGGATTAAAAGAGGAGAGTTCTGACAGAAATGCAAAATTTACTGGGGCAAAATCATTACTTGACTGAAAAAATGTTTTATGACTTGACAGTCCTATTATACACTGGCTTTAAGTGCTTCTATATAGCCAGAGGTGATCAAAAGAAATGAGACCTTTACAATCTCAACAGTAGACACAGTATATTTTGTAATTTCATCTAATGTAAAAAAAATAAATACATAAATAAATAAATATATATATATGTAATATATATGTAATATATATATGTTATATATATATGTTATATATGTATGTGTGTGTGTGTGTGTGTGTGTGTGTATATATATATATATATATATATATATATATATATATATATATATATATATATATATATATATATATATATATATATATATATATATATATATATATATATATATATATATATATATATATATATATATATATATATATGTTGCACCTAGCCTTCATAAGTTCTCAGGAAAATGCCAAGTTAAATTCTTCTGTTGTTTGTATAATTTACCAATGAAGGGGCTAGAAAATACCATTACAAAATCCTTCTGGCTACATTTTTCTTTTTAAACTTAACTAGGAAATGTTGACTATTAAAAAGGCTGCCCAGAAGAATATTAAAAATGTATGCTGCATTAAAGCCCAGGAGTCCGTTTGGAAAAATAACACTTCTACACCAAGCAGGCTGTACTTCTCTGCTATTGAAACATTTTATTCATCTGGTCCATACTGACTTTTTCATTTGCTAGTGAATGGTATGCTAAAGCTAACCTCCCTTTGACACTATTTCCTCTGCTCGCAGTCTAATCCTGTCCCATCAGTGGCTCCTGCTGTGGCCTTTACCCCCTGAGAGGTGGCTTCTGTTGATAAAGCAGCCAAAGGTGTTAATAGGAGGGCTCGACTGCCCGCTGCATTACGGCATAAAATCATTGCTGCTGGTTCTTTAAAAAGCTTTGGTGTGTAAATGGACCTAAGTGTCTGAGGTGATTCATGGCCTCCATGCCAGGCTCTGCTCTTGGTGTGACTGTGTTGACAGGCAAGACAGCGGCTCTGCTCCCATTAATGAGTGGACAAAGGCTGACACAGGGGATAATCAACAATGGACATCAACAATGAACATACATGTGTGAAGCCTTTAAAGCTGAGCTGGAGTGTTATACCATGCACTGGAATATGACGTGGCAACAAATCAATTACATTGATGAATCAAATTTTAAGTTCAGTTCAATTTGTTTGGAAGCAAATCTTTTTTAGTTTCCTCACTTTTTATTATTGTTAATTGCATTGGAAATGCAAGAAAGTCTGCAAAGTGCAGTCACTAGGCCAAATTATAGTTCTGCATTGACTCAACGCACACTGCTGCTGTCACCTTGTTGCCGTAGTTTTTGATTTATGGATCTGTGTGCCACAAAGTAATTCACCACCACACCGCTAGGAGGCTAGGATTTGAAAATGGCATTCGTGTATACAAAATGAAGTGGGAAAGCTGAGTACTGGAAATGTATGTAGAGAGGACCAATCATGTATGTAGAGAGGACCAAGAGAGGACCTTGCTGTCTGCATTGGTTCGACACAAAATTTCGGAAAATGTGACACAGAAGATTTGAAGCACAACCATAAATTGGGCTATAAGGATCAGAGTTTTAGAGGTCATGTGCTTTTCCTTCATGTTTGAGCCTCAGTGAAGAGAAAAGCAGGAGTTTAGCACAGGGCCAGAGCTGCTCTGAAATGAGCAACGTCACATTAAATATTGTGAAAGTGCAAATCACGTCTTTTACACCACATCAGCCTCATGTTTAATGCAGTGGACTGTTATGATTAGTTAGTTTTATCTCATTCATAAAATGAAAAGATTTCCCCCAATTGCCACTGGGTTAAATATTATCCCTTCACAACACAACTTTGTAGTAACATCAGATGCTTAGCTGCTTTTATCTTTTATATTGTATTTAAGCTGTTTAAGATATTTCTATTTACATTCCACAACAAATATATTAATATTGATAATGTTTTAATTAAAAGGAGCTTACTATTTACAGCACTATACCTTAACTGAAACAATTATATATCTTTGTTTATTTTTGAAAATTTTCTGTAGTTTGTTGGGCATTTTTAGTGGAAAAGGGAGAAAAATCAAAATTCTAATTTTTAGAGAAAAAAATCCCCAATTTTATTTTTGGACAATATCACCTAGCCCTACACTGTAAAAACAAAGCCTGAGACTTTAAGTACCCTGGGGCAGAATGACAAATACTGCCTCTGTCATCACCGCCCATAAACATGAAGCCAACACTATTGTGCCCTGAACACAATAACAGTGTGTAATGCCGCCAGCAAAAATGTAAACAACCTTTTTTGGTGTAGCTTTTTTTATGTTTTATAGACATAAGAAACATACACTAGTAGCCAGTGGGGACCTTCTTTATCACATTACCACATCTGAATTATATATCCACAGCCTTTCGATTTCTGTTAACTATTATTAGACTATTACTGTTACTATCGGAGAAAACAGCTTGTCTCTTGTTCAACAGAAGAAGAAGAAGAAAAAAAACAAAACACTGGTAGCTGTCGTTTATTGAAGTCATGGATGTGTACAGGTACAATCCCATAGACAAGCTTCTCTGTACTGTACACTGAATGACTCCTGTGTTGACTGTAATAAGTAAAGCCCAGATGGAGTGGACAAACAATATATCTCTCTTTCTCCTATACTCACTGTCAGTTTATTTTAAGACTACGCAGGGGAACGAAATAAAAGGGAAGCAATCAACAGTCGCCATTCACTTGAAGTATTGTTTTTTACTACACGTCTCGAGCTTAAATGGGACAGCTGCATGATTTTATTAGGTTCTAAAATGTGCGGTATTGGGAGCGTGGGGGAAAAAACATTTCATCCCCCCATGTGTGAGAAAGCTCAAGGGGTGCCAGCGACATACGAGCTTTAACGGCCAAGCTGCTACACTTTTTAAATATCCTTTTTATTATGAGACAACATGTGGATCTGTGTATTTGCATAATTATGACACAGTTGTACGACTTCATCATATGTCAGGTTATAAAGATTTATTGACTGAAGATAAAATATATATTTGTGTCCTAAAACCTGTTGTAAGTTGGATTTTTCTTGTTTTTCAGCTCAGTCTTTCAAAGAGTTTGCCCAGCTTCTTAACACTGTGGAAGAAGAACGTCGTCGTCTGGTGAGAATGCTCCTGACCTTTTCAAAAAACAACAGAAATGAAAATTTATCTCACAACTTGCCACTACAAAATGTTATGTGGTGACTTTTCAATGTTCGTGATGCTGCAAAATGACAAAATCATTAGCTTTAAACTATGCATATTTTTTTTAGAAATGTTAAAACATACCATTTAATAACCTCTCAATTTCCATCTACTCAGGAAACATCACTAAAATAAACAAAATAATTCAAATGACTTTACCCAACTGTTTTATAACATCTTAAAGGGACAGTGTCTAACTTTTTTGTCTGTAACCTGCTTGTCTCGTATAACATATTTTTATGGAAACAAGCACGTTGTAGCATCAAATTATAGGTCAAATCTGTGGGGAGGCGACTCTAATCACAGTATGTTTTTTAGTCAATTAAAACATCTGTAAGTGAGTAAATACAAGATATATGTTTAATGCCGCACTGAGAAACCTTTCAGGCATTTCAGGCAAAGCAATAACATCTCAATCGAGACAAGCAGTCACAGTTACTTTTTGCACTAAAAAGTTACATAGTGCCCCTTTAATGTGTTTCTTAAAATGTTGTTGCTCTCTCACAGTTTAGTGACACTATAATAGAATGTCTTACTGTGATGAATTCCCAAGGTCAGCCGAATATCAAGACTGTGGATGCAATTTTTTATGTTGTAAGAAAAGTGGCAGCTTTGTCCCTGTCTAAAGGTCGGAAAACAGACCTCCAACTACGCCGCATGTCTGGAGACAAACCAGGCATGACGCAAAGGCCAAGAACGATGGAGGAGGGGGGCCCAGGGTCATATGTCCCACCTAGCATGTTAGAGGATTGCCCCCGGGGTGGTATACGGTAATATAGAAACCTGCGACTCCAGACTGTAACAGGATTGCTCGTCTGCTCTATTGGTATTCACAAAGCTAACCATTGTACTTGACTGGTTTTTCACCCATTAAAACCAAACAACCCAAGGCTATCCAAAAGAGATGCCAGTGCCATTTTGAATAGCTCTTTCCACTGACCTCATTCATTTAGCTTTTGTACAGTTCTAGTTTGTTGGAGTTTAGACGTATTTCCTCATTGATTTGAATGGTAGAAGTGTGTATTTATGAAGGGTGGTATTATAAAGAGCCTGAGGGTGGAATTACCTCAATCTGCCTGAAGCACTGGAGCTGCATGTTTGACTAACCAAGTGCAATCTACGGATTTTTGTGTAAGTTTGCCTTTTCTCTTTGTGGACAGAGATTCATACACTTATTTCTTATTCTTTTTCCAATTTTATTTTATTATATAAAGACATTGCATTTACTTTGGACAAACCATATGCAAGTGTAAAAATCACTTTAAAACATTAGAGGCATTTAGAACATGGCAATACATTTGAAACAAGCAAGAATGACGTGCGCTGCATTACATATTTACAGTAAATTAGCCAGTAAATGTCATATCGCATTATTGTTTACGAAACCTGATTTCCGCCGATGTCTTTCTAAGACGTTCAAGCCATTTGTGGCCATACCAGCTTGTCAAAGCCTGATCCTGTCAGATCTCAGAAGCTAAGCAAGGCTGGGCCTGGTTAGTACTTGGATGGGAGATGCTGGGAAAATCGGGTGCTACAACTGACACACTGTTGTTGTGTCCTTAAGCAAGGCACTTCACCCACATTGCTTGTATGAAAGTGGTGTGTGCATGAGTGATGGTGCTGGTCGGAGGGGCCGACAGCACAGACTGGCAGCCTCGCTTCCATCAGTCTGACCTAGGGCAGCTGTGGCTACAATAGTAGTTTACCACCACTGGGTATGGAGTGAATGAATAATGCTCTGTAAAGCATCTTTGAGTGTCCAAAAAGCACTATATAAAACTGATTCATTATTATCATTATTATTATTATTTAAGCCAGTATAGATGAAAAATATGTAAGTGTGCATTTGCTCTTTCTCATATGTTAGAGTGGACAGTCGCAAAGTGGTTAGCAATTAGGCTTGTTGACAAAAACATGTTGGATTTAACTATAAGCCTGTCAACACATGTCCTTTCCTATAAATGAGACATGTGAATTTAGAATCTTAACTACCGATATTGAATGCATGTGAGAGTGTATGAGAGAGGCAATGCTGCTGTCTGTGAAACCAAAGCAGCTCTATATAGTTTAACATTCACGTAAATGCTCAAGTTATGGTTCATCTCAGTAAATTGCTGTCATGTTTTATGATGTGCAGAAGTGCCCTCTGTAGATGGGGGTCACCTCCATGGGTGCCGTGTATTGAATATCGTGTCATCCTAATCATTTTGACAAGCATAAAACCACAGATAATAAATTCAAATTGCCTGACTGATTTTTTTTCCCTGTTTCAAACTCCTGACCCTTGTAAATTGTTTAACTGCTGTTGATGATGCATAGCCTATAACAGCTGTCTCATTTTGATCTTATAATCTTGGCCTTGTTTGACAAATTATGGTAGGGCCATACCATGTAAAATTAACAAGGCGCTTCTTATAGTAACTTTGGGTTTGTTTATAAATTGTGATGTGTGTTCCTGTTGTTGGATTTCAGCTAATGTTACAACATTCTTCAGACCAATAATATTTAATAGATGCCCTTTTTATTGTAATGCACTGAGTTCTTGGGCTTTGAAAATCAGGTTCATCATTTGTGAATTCACCGTTTTATGGGGCCTCCCTGATGATGTTCACGAAAAAAGATACTAAATCGTGGCCTCAAATTACTATTTCATTCTCACGATTTAGCTAATTTGTTCCCATGTTTTAGCCATAGACCATATTTATGAGTGCACATAGCTAATGCCCTAGCCACCGTGTGCCAAATAGGAAGTTGCCAGGAGGCTCTTCCAGCTCCTGACCCTGGCTCCAACTGACTTACATTGGGATCTTTGTCATCTCTCTCTCTGTAACTGCAGCAGTGAGCCTTGTCATTTTGGTCTTAAAATGTTCATATTAATCTGCTCTACATGATCCTGAATTTTTTTTGCTATTTTTTTCTGTCAAAAAAATTCTATTCATAACATAGAGTCTGGCTCCAGATTCGCTCCTGTAACCGTTAGCATCGCGAGCCTCATTTGAGCGGCACTGAACACTGTGGGTGACATCACACTCGCGTAGTCCACTTCTTTATACAGTCTATGGTTTTAGCTATGCTTTTGTTAATTTGTTTCCACGTTTTAATAAATTCATTCCCATGTTTTAGCAAATCATTCCCACATTTTTGCCAGTTCACAGCACATTGGACACAGCGGAGGTTCAGGTTTAGTCCTGGTCCAGTCCTGGTTTAGTCCTGGTTCAGTCCTGGTCCAGTCTTGGTGTAGTCCTGGCGATCGGTTCTACGGTTTTTGTGTGTATATATTTATAATCTGCTATGACGGCGTGGGTTTAGTTTTGGTTTAGTCCTTGTCCAGACCCAGTGTAGTCCTGCTGTAGTCCTGGCGATTGACTTGGCAGTTGCGGCATGTATATTTTTATAATCCACTAATGACACGGCATAGATTTTCTTGTTCTGGTGTTTGTGGCTCCCTGCCCTGGTGTGGCCTCCACACACACACTTATGAATGGTTTATCCTCAGCACGTTACAAGTCATCCATGCATCTCTACTACGTATGGTCGGACTATTAGGCTTTCGGACTAATGGTCTGACTACATAGTGATATGTACGAATTGCCTTAAACGTGGGAACGATTTAGCTACAACATGGGAATGAATTACATATTGTGGGAACGAAATAATCATTTGAGGCTACAATTTAGTTTGTTTTTTCGCGCACGTCATCAGGCGGGCTCCCTACATTTTGTATATTTCATGGCAGAAAATCCAGTGTAATCAATAGGGAAAAATGGTCTTTTGCCCCCCGTTTGGGATTATGACATCATAATAATACTTTTACTACTTTTTACTACTTTCTAGAATCACGTGGAAAGTATTTGATTTATTTTACTCAATCAGGGATATTTTAACTTCAAAATTGTTTCTTTATTTTCTCCTTTGCCTTTTAAATAAGTTCACAAATTTTTTAGTTTTATAAGAAATATTATTACTAATTTTGGAGCAAGCACTGTTCACACGTCACATTGGAACATTTCACATTTTCAACAACATGTTCTTTTTCATTACAAAGTTGAAATTAACTTTTACCTTCATAGTTTTTGTCAAACGATGATAACTCCGAATTATGGATTAAATTGTGCATAAGGGCTGCTGGAGGCTATCAGTATTATATTAGAATCCATATGCACATTCAATTTTCTCCAAACCCAGAGTCTTTGCATCATCCTTTCTTTTGTCTGTGGTGCCTTTTGTTTCAGCACATCACAGGAGGCTCCTCTGATGTCTGCACTTTGAGCACCGCTGCTTCACTGCACCCTCTGAGGCAGTACACTGAAAACATGTCACTTCATGCAAAAAAGAATTCAACAAAACAAGAATGTTGTTTTTTTAATATAATGATTTGATATTTTCTTTTCAACTTAGAGTGAATTTGGTCAAACACTCAGGTCTCTTACTCTAACTAACTTTTTCTCCATCACCTGCTTCATCTGCTTGTGGAGATACTGCACAATTGGCAGGTGACACCACAGGGCCAACTTACATGTCAGGTCTTTGGAGAGTCGAGCCCAGTCACTGTAAGAATTCAAGATTTTTTTGTCAATAGAAACCAATGTTAATGAGTGTATGCAAGATGGATATGTTTATGCCATACCAGGACATTCCAGACAAGACATATCTCCATGGCGGCAAACTCTTCACCTTTAATATATTTTAGGTCAAAGTTATCTTCAGCTCTTACATGTGTCTGTCCATTGGCTGCTCTGGTATCACAAGTTTCTATCACATTTGTTCCCCTTACATCAAAGACTTTTAAAGGTAGAATTCCAAAGATATATTTGGACTGGGGTGTGTGTGAATAACACATAGTTTTTACTCCCAGTGAAAGTGTTAGTGCTATCACCAATTAAATTTGCGAATTTCTTTTGAACTTTGACATATAG